TTCTGATGAAGGGCCTAGGCCCGAAACATCAGCCTTCCTGCTCCTATGATGCTGCTTGGCCTGCTGTGTTCATCCAGCTCTACACCTTGTTATCTCATACTTTGCTTCTGTTTTCACCAAGACACATGTAAAGTACCAGAGATGATGGCGTAGACAGGGTTTAGTGAAGGGGAGGAACTAAAGCAAATCTGTATTAATAGAGAAATGGTGTTGGAGAAATTAATGGGATAAATTCCCAGGGCATGATAATCCAGATGCCAGAGCATTTAAGAAAGTGACTCTAGAAATACTGGATGCGTCAATGATTCTTTGGACTCTTCAGATTCTGGAATAGTTCGTACAGATTTGAGGGTAGTTCATGTAACTCCACTATTTAAAAAAGGAGGTAATGAGAAAACAAGGAAGCACAGACCAAAAAAACCTGACTTCTGCAGTTGGGAAGACGCTGGTGTCCATCAATTTTATTTGATTTGATTTATTTATTGTCATGTGTATTTTGTTACAAAATACAGTGAAAGTGTTTATATAGTGCGACTACTCTCCAGCGCCATCTTAAAACACAGAAAATTAAACCAAAATATAGAATATAAAGGCAGGAAAATAAAGTAATAACAAAAAGTGTAAAGTTGAACACTTTCTTTAAGTGCTCAACCATATACCATTGGCCTGGTGGCCAAGCATGAATCCCTTTTGCCATGCTGCTGAATGAAAGTCACTATCTTGCCTCCACCGATACCCTTGGCACTGAGCTCTCACTGGACCTTGCCAATTCAGATGCCACCAGGTACTGCATTGGCCCAAATTTGACTCCAACACTGCTATGAATCAGCTTCGGGTCCACCTCACCAATGCAGCCACTGCCGATGCCATTGGATCTCATACTGGGCCCAAACTCACCTCCATGAATCTGCACTGGATGCAGATGCCTCCAGACTCCAGAGAAAGTGATTGAGGCCAAAACATTGTGTGCTTTAAAAGGTGGGATCAAGGGATCAAGGGATCAAGGGATCAAGGGATCAAGGGATCA